TGCAGGCAGGACTCACCACTCAGGGCAGCTCCAGCTTTCAGCAGGTTATTTCCCTCCCACTCCACCTCTGTACCCTCGTTGCCCCATTTTCAGTAAAGCATAATGGGAACAGTTCATATATACATAAAATTAAAAACTAAGTGCAACCTCCTAGCTATCCTGAGCATAAGTGCCACAGAAGTTATCCAGATTTATAGTAATTATTGTACAGTTCAGCAGTTTCACCCGAGAAATATTGAGTATAAGTAGTTACAAGTAAGCTGGAATAAATTTAATATTAATAAAAATCCCAGTACATTTCCTTAATAGGAATCCTGTTGTATTTTTAATCCTCTAGTTTTTCTATATACGTATATTTACAAGTTCCCACCTATTTTTAACCTATTAATACCATTAAGGAAATGCAATGGCTGCCTTAAGCACTAATTCTGGTTGTGGCAAAGACATAGAGTTTATTCATTTCTCTGAAAAATTAGATTTTCTCTACTCCCACAGAATTGCTTATAATCCTCGCCCTAGGGCAGAAGACTCAGGGAAGGAAGGAAAGTATTACAAAGAAATAAAATATTATGCAAGATGGGAAGAAGTTCTACTTTGGGGAGCCTGGACTATTCCTTTAAGTACACCTAATTATGATCAGAATTTGTTTGACTTTGGGTTAATCACCTGCAGTTACTGCCACCTATGCAAGTAGATTAATGATGGGTTCTGCAGAGGGAGTGGATGGTGGATGGTAGAGAGTCTTGAATATCTACTGAATGCAGCAGCATGCCCTGAGGAATAGTCTGAGGAAGATGCCACTGGAGCATCTTGTATCTGTATTAATTTGCTTTTACTACAGTTAGTCTGTAGTAGTTACTCTGTGCAGTGCTTATTGTGCCAAGTGATCTCCTCGGACTGCAGAACTCTACCAGGATTAAATGGGCAGTCACAGTAATGTCAGTGGACAGGCCATGAGATTAGCACTTTCTCTGCCGTACAAATTCAGTATGAACTCTTTCAGAGAAGAGGTTTTTTTTTTTTTTTCTATTAAACACTACTGTACTTCAGCAGGGCTTACTATAGTAGAATGTGATCAACAAAGGTCTTAGTCTTCTTGTGTTTCTTGGGCTTGGAATTTCCACAGCAGTAAGGTGGGGAGTGTTTCCTTCGGAATGAGAAAGGCCTTTCTCGTCACTTTCCTTGGGTATCACTTTGTGTCTCAAGAGTGGCCCTGTGGCCTCTGTGTTGATAAGCAGCTATTAGGTTCACCTCTTATTATCTAACTGTAGATTCATGTGAAAAATACTATATTATGAAAAATGTATCTCGCAATATTCTAACAGATGCTGCTAGTATAATAACCTAATGTAACAAACGCACCAAATGTGCTCAAGCATGTTTTTGACACTATTTTCATAAGTGATGATATATCCTAATTGAAACTTACTAAAATTATGTTTTCTTCTCCAACTGTCATGAAAACATACCAAACTATGTGTTTTGTATACCCATGATTGAAGAGAATAAGATGTGTATTCCTTTTGGCCTTCATTTTGTGGGTTTGAGTCATAATTTGAAAATATAAGATTTTATCCTTATGAATATTAGTCCAATGACTAAACTCAGCTCCAAGGTATGTTTTAATTCTCCTTCATTAGTTATGCAGCCAGTAGTACATTTAAATTTGAAGCTTTGTAAAAATTTTTTAATTTTTAAATTACATTATTAGAGGGAAGAATGTTACAGTCTTTTTTTTTTTTCTTTTTGACTCACAGTGAGAATTGGTTTGGGAACCTTCAGAGAAAGTCCTATGTATTTTTCTTTCATCATTATATATTAATTTGTGTGCACTATATCCCTGTATCATGTAATTCTTTTTTCTTTCTCCAGAGCCATCCATCAGGGGTGATAGATGATCAAATAATTCTTTTCTGAAAATTTTTTTTCTTGTGAAACCCAACATACATTAGAAAAGCGTAAAAACCAAAAATCTACAACCCACTTATCTATCACAAAGCATAATCCATGTAACTACCATCCAGGTCAAGAAATAAAATACTGCCAGTATCCCTAGAAACCTCCTCACTGTACCCTTCCCAATCACGATTCCGCCTCTCTCCACCCCCAGAGTTAACTACAATTTTCACTTAGAACCCTATCACCTGTTCATGCATCTAGAACACTATATTTTAGGTTTGGTTTTGTCTGGTTTGGGGTTTTTGTTTTTCTTTGGTTTTCATTACTTTACATAAATAGAATTATGCAGCTAGGTATCTTTTGGGATCCAGCATTTTTAATTCAAAATTATATTTGTAAATATAGTTATAACTGGTTATCACTGCTTTGAAATATATCATTGCACAAACTCAGCACAAATTATTTCTCTCCTCTACTGTTCAGGTCCAACATGAATGATGCTGCTGTGGACACACTTTCATGTGTCTCTTGATAAACACCGAACACATTTCTGATGAGTATATATATATATATATATATATGGCAGTGGAATTGCCAGATCATGGGGTTTGTGTATTTTCAGTATTGTTAGAAATGGTATCACTGTACACTTCCACCAGAGAAATAGGAGCATTCTCATTGCTATGTCCTCACCACCCTCGATATTCTCTTAGTGCACCTGTTTATCGTGTGGTGTTACGGTTTAAATTTTCATTGCCCTGATTACTAATGAAGGTCAGCAAATGCAAGGAAACCTGTTGAGATTTTTATGGATTTGCATTTAATCTATAGACCAATTTTGAGAGGATGTTACAAAATTCAGCTTTCTAACATATTAACATAGGTTATATACCACTTTTCAGTTTATCTCAATAATGGTTATAATTTTCTATATATGGCTTTCTGTAATAGTTATTAAATTTATTTCTAGACATGTTATGTTTTTATGCTATAACAAATGCTATTTTAATACATTGTATTTTCAGATTTATTACTGATTGATATATGGCAATGTTTGGATTTTTGGATTTTCCCTTTATGTACAGCTATAGTTCATCTGTAGATTTGTTTTTATTCCCTATGTACATAATTATGCAATCTGCACAGAAAGACTTTTTTATCTGCTCCCTTTTCAAATCATTATATTTTTTATTTTTTACTTTAATAAGGCTAGGACCTTCACTGACTGGTATCCCCACTACAGTGTTGACTAAAAGTGGTGGTAGTGGGCAATTTCAAAGGGGAAGCATTAAAGTTTTTTTTTTCTATTAAGTTTGATATTGCATGTTGCTGGATTTGTTTTGCCCATAGTATTTTTAGGGTTTTTAAATTCAGGCTCATGAATGAGAAAATCCTATAATTTTTCTTTTTATAATGTCGTTGTTAGGTTTTGGTTTTCGTGTTTTGCTAGATTCTTAAAGGAAGTTGAGGACTGTTTCCTCTGTCTCTACTATCTGGAAGAGTTTGGGTAAGACTAGTATTGTTAATTAGAGTTTACAAATGAAGCCATACGGGCTAAAGTTTTTTAATTTTGTGTTTTTTTTGGAAAGTTTTAATTACAATTCCAATTTCTTCATTAAGACTAGTCTATTTCTTTTCTGGTGTCCCTTTTGATTAGTGATTGATTGTGATAGTTTTCTAGAAATATGTCCATTTCCTCCAAATTTGAGATATGTTGAAGAAAGTTGTTCATACTATTCTCTTACCTTTTCAAGATCTATAGAAAATGTAATGATATCTTTTTTGTTGTTCTTGATAATTATTATTGCCTTCTTTTATTTTTTTTAAGTGAACTCTCTAGAAATTTGTCTTTTCCGATCACTTATTTTTATTATCTGTTAGTTACCCATGTTTTATTTAAAAGTATATCTTTAACTTCCAAAGATATAAGGATTTTATTCTCCTCTAGAGAGTAGTATGGATTTTTAGTCAATCAAAAAATTGCGTATTCTGTAGTTGTTGAGTGTAATGTTCTACATACAGTTTTATGCAGTTTTGCTTACTGTGATATCTTTTACACCCTTACTATGTTTATCTGTCTGCTCATTTGGTCACTTACTGAGAGAAGTGTGCCAACGTCCCTACCGGTTAGGGGTTTCTCTGTTTCTCTTTCTAGTTGTGGAAATTTTTGCTTTCTCTGTTTTGAGTTCATGTTATTAAATGCATGCAAATTTGGAATTATTTTACTTCTTAGTAATTTGAATGTTTTGTCATTATTAAGAATACTGCCTCATGTCTGATAATAGTTACTGCCTTAAGCCCAACCCTAGTGTAGCTACATCAATTTTCTTTTCGTTATTGATTGCATGATAATTTTTTATAAATAGACCAACACTTATGTGTTCATATGGAAATTACACTCGTGGGGAATGAAGCAGGGGAGAAGGGAGGAGGGGATGGGTAAATTCACACCTGATGGGTACAATGCATACTCTCTGGGTTATGGGCACACTTACTAATTTGACTAAGCAGTTTATGTAACCAAATGTTTATACCTCCGTAATATTCTGACACAAAATTAAAATAAATAAGTAAAGCCACACATTAAAAACATTTTTTTTATACTTTTCAACTTTTCTGTATCTCTGTGTTTTAGATATTGGCTTATAACTAGTAAATAGTTTTGTTTATTTTTCAAAGTTTGCCAATCTTTGTCTTTCAAGGCACAGTTAGGACATTTAATATAATTGGATCTAAATCTGTGTGCCAGTCTTTTAAGGTTAAGTTTTTAAATAACAGTTTTTCACATTGAGAAAATAGTTCATTAAAATCTATAAGCTTAAGTAAGAAACTTATCTTCTATGGTTCATATATAAATATGGAGAGATTATGAAACTTTCTCAATTCCTATTACTTCTCCCTATATTTTTGGAAACTAAAGAGATCCAGGGTCTAAAATATGCTAAAGCCAGCAGTTCTCACCTGGTGTTTGGGTGGTTTGTTTACAGCTCTTGTCTTCATTGCGATTCACCTTCTTCATTCCAATAAATCTGGCATTAACAACACATCTCTTAATATGTTGCTTTTGCAAAATACTATAAAAATCTCACTTTTTATTACAGGGCTGTGAATCCCAAATGAGCGTGTCAGAAATGTCCTGCAGTGAAAGTACATCCTCATGTCAGTCTCTTGAACACGGTTCAGTCCCAGAAATCCTCATTGGCCTGCTTTATAATGCCACAACTGGAAGACTCTCAGCAGAAGTGATAAAAGGCAGCCACTTCAAAAACTTGGCAGCAAACAGACCACCGAGTGAGTGGAAAAAAAATTTTTTTAATTCTGATGTTTTCTGCACTTATGGGACTCTCAGCGTTAGGGGGCTTCAATCCTATCATTTAGCCTTAACCAATCAAAATGAAATGGTATAATCATCAGCTAATCTGTTTCATGTTTTCTATTTCTAGTCATTTGGGAAGTAGAAAAATTTGAAATTCAAAATATTAATTATAAGGTGACAGAACTTTTAAATTTTCATAGTGTCTGCAGAATAAATTATCCCTATCATAGCCATTATCTTTTAATGCCAGAAAGAGTTACAGGGTTTTAAAATGTGAATAGTATTCACAAATATGAACAGGAATGTGTACAGCATTATTAACTGAAGATTCATGTTTTCTCTCTGCATGCAACACTATGAACTATTATATTTACTTCTATAGTTTCCTTTCTCTCTCCCTTAACAATTTAAGAAGAAACCATTACTTCACATTTTTTTCTTCTTTAAAATTATAACCTAGTACTGCTACTCTTTAATGGAATGGGCTTTGCTGTGACCAGGATGAACAGAGTAAGGAAGAACTTGCTATTTACCCTGGATGTAAGGGAGGGAAAGCTAGATGGCAGACCTCTGCCCTGTCCATAGGCCTCTCACTCTTCTCTCTCCTGATCTCTGTCTTAGTTCAGGGAGGGGAGATGATGGATGTACAAAGAAAGCATCACCCAGTGTGACTCTAAAACTGTTGGTGTCTGTAAGAGGTAAACTGGGGAGGTAGCACCTTCTTTATAGACAGTGCATCTAAACTTAGAGCTGTTAATGCCCTGTACTAAAAATCTGAAAGGAAATCTTGGATAACGATGCCACCTGAAATTTGTTTAAAGATTTCTCACAGACTCGCTTAATGCAGTCTTTTATTCCAAGTAGCGAGTAATTATTAAAGGAGGAGAAACTTTTTCCATCTTATTCCCCCACTCAAAATAAATCAACTTTACTTCTAAATGGCATAAAAATTCTTTATTCCAGAAAGGTAAAAAGTAGTAAAAATCAAGTTGACTTGCCCCAAGTAATACATTTATCACAAAATATATCTGTCCTGAATTAAAAGTCTGAAAGCTTAAATTCTGTTCATATTACTAGCCTTGAACAAATGACCTCACTCCCCAAAGTCTATTTCTTCCTACGTAAAATTAGGGTCATGTCTCCTATAGGGTAATTGTGAGACTCAAATCAGATAAAGGTGCATAAAAGGATGGAATTATTATTGTTCCCTTTCTCATTTCAGAAGGAAAAATTCAGTGGAAGGAAAGAAGCAATTACTAGAATAAACAGACTTGGATGTGTGACTTGATCATCTTCATTAATACACACTTAGAATGCAAACTCAAATGGCCTGCAATTTGAGAACTTAACTGAGTAAAATCTGTGGATGAAAGATAGGGAGCATGGTTAGGGTTGTGACAAACACAAGAGTGCACATCCTGCCCTAAGACATTGCAGTTCACAACTGTGTGAGCACCGTGCCCAATAAACAAGACATCATTTGAGGTCACATTGAGCCCAAAGCTATTAGTTTGCCACTCATGCTTCAGTTAATAGTTTAATAATTTTTGTGAACAAACATTTAACTAGAGATGCTAAAAAGCAGAATGAAATGATACATTTACCTTTCTATCCTCACAGTAGCCCCTCTGATAGAAACAAAGAATGACCTGCATTTGAGTTCTGACTTGTGTTTCTTTGTTTCTATCAGAGTGGCTACACACCTATGGTGCATTTTACATGGGTACACGTCAAATCTATTAAGTGTAGAGTATAAATGTCTTAACATAATAATTAAGAAAGTGCAGTGAAGGCTATGTTAACCAGTTTAAGTATTTCAAATTGTATGTAAAACCAGCACATTGTACTCCATAAATGCATTAATGTACACAACTGTATGATTTTAAATAAATAAATAAAATTAAGGGGTGCCAGAAGCAGGGGCAGATAATAAACAGGTTAGAAAGGTTTACATCCACAACAGAGCATTGATCTCTCAGGTTAAAGAGTAGATTACAGCAGTTGACTTTTTAAATTAGATCTTCAGTGAAAGGATGATCAAAGGTGTTAGCTGGAGTTAACTAGTAAGTAAATATAAGGCATTAAAAATAATGTTATTTGAAAGTGCAATATTTATAAAGTAAAAGGTAAAACAGTTTTATCAGTTTATCCTAATCTGTATATATTACATAAAATTGTAGCCACTCACATATACCTAGGTTCTAATCTTTGAACTATGTTACAGAATGAGTAATCCCAATTTTATCCAAAGAAAGAGTAGCAACATTCAAGAACAAAAATTTTGATAGTTGTTTTATTTTGCATAAGTTGATTTTACATTACATTAGAAGTAATAAAAGTACTTGAAATATTGACCATAGCTTAGATAAAATTTAGCATAATAATAATGATCCTTTAATGACTTTTATTCAGTCTTTTATAGTCTGATAATTTGCATGATTCTATGTTCAGTGTGCTTTAGACCAAAAGGATATCATTAGAAAGATGTCCCCCTTTAAAACAGTGTAATTTTTGTTTAAGATTACACAATGACCTTAAAAATTCTCATTCCGTGAAATTTACCCAACAACCCTTTTGTTCAACCCTCTACCTGAATTAAAATGCTAAAGTTTTGTGTTCTTCCACTCCAGTGAACAGTGTTTCCTCTTTAATTCTAACCTTTGACCCTCTTTCACCCAATGATTGACATCTGGTCATTATTTCTTTTACTGCTTTCCACCCCCTGTTGTCAGATGGACTGTTCTGTTGTCTAAAACACTTGATAGGTGGACAGGTTTATATAATCCGAGGTGAGTTCCTGTAGAGGCTAATTGGATGTTGTCTTTTCATGCAAAACCAAAATACCCTAAAACTTGCCAGCAGTGAAGCTGTCCACCATGTTGGTTTCCAAAACAATGCACATTTATTATCTGTGGTACTTTAAATACAACTAACTTAGACTACATCTCTGATTATGGATGATGGTATTCAGAGTATCTGTAAAAATAAGCAAAACTTTTTAAAGTAAAAGTTTTTATTTGTTCATTCATTTATACTTTGATTCATACAACAGAAATAGATATTTCGTGAGAAATACTGCAATTTTCTTTAATTAAAATTTTGATATGAAGTACACATGATGGATCAACATGCTGAAGATCATTTGCATGAGTCTAAAGAACTTAAAAACACAATCTTTTAAAGAGAGGATTTATCTCCCAAATAATCAGGCAATGGACTGTTATGTTTCACTTTGTACACTAAACATCACATCAATTTTTTTTATAATTCATGAATATAGTTAAGCTATCATACTTAAAATTTCACATTATATTGTGCCTAAAAGCAATCCTATAGTATTTTAATTACCCCAAAGCACATTACATGTATTCTTGCATGAAACCAGAAGAAAGTTTTACTTTGTTTGCTAAACTTTGAATCCGTAATGCATTTGGCTTCATTTTGACCCTTCAGTGTTTTTAAAATATATTTAAAAACCACATCCATGCAGAGATTTTTTTGACATTTCATCCTAAGCTGTTTTGATGTCATCTTTGCATTCTTGTCTTCCTCTTTTCCTCTTCACCATTTGCCTTCATTTCTATTTGTTTGTTTATTCTTATTCTCTGAAAACACAGTGGAATGCTTTACAGTGTTGTGGCTAATTGAGCTTGCTAAGTGTCTATTAATGCTATGATGTCCTGCTTAGTGAAGCTAAATGGGGATGATGGGCCGGGGGGTAGTGGGAGGTCAAGGATGGTGTGGGAAGAGGGTGGGAAAGGATTATGAGGTATACCTTTAAATTCTAATTTTTATGTAGAAATAGTGAGGTTGAGATATTATCACCCCTAAAATACTTCTTTTGGCCTTCTTAACATTCTCTGTATTTGTCACATTATTGTAAGCATCTACATCAAAATGGAATTAGTTCAATTTCTATTAAGCATGGTATACACCATATCCTTATAAAGTTTAAATACTTAATCTTCTTAGCCTATGTTATAAGAAAATTGGTTTGGATTTGTTTCAAATGATATTTGTTCTATGTTGTTGTTTTTCTTCCTTAGATACATATGTTAAGTTAACTCTACTGAATTCCATGGGGCAAGAGATGTCCAAATGCAAGACATCCATCCGCAGAGGGCAGCCAAATCCAGTATACAAGGAAACTTTTGTTTTTCAAGTGGCCCTATTTCAACTTTCTGATGTGACACTGATACTGTCTGTGTATAACAAACGCAGCATGAAAAGGAAAGAGATGATAGGCTGGATTTCTTTAGGTTTGAACAGCTCTGGAGAAGAAGAACTCAATCACTGGACTGAAATGAAAGAGTCCAAAGGACAGCAAGTATGTAGATGGCATGCCTTACTAGAGTCGTGATGAATAGGGTAAGGAGAGATTATGACCCAAGGCTGCGTATTTCAGATCGCAGCATTACGATTTTTACCCAGTCACCGATGGAAGAGCTTTTCTTTGAAGAATCATATTCAGCATTCTACCAAAATGCTCTGAATTTTGTGGAAAGAACATCTAACACTGGCATAAATGAAGAAAAGGTGTGTCTCTGGTAGAGCTTGTCTGGGAAACCAAGAAACTTGCATCGTCATTGTTAAACTAACAATCTTCCAGAGATTCAGTAACATGTTTTTGATTTGAATTTAATTTTGATTTAGCAAAAGAACCAGTAATTTCATAAAAAATCAAAATCATAAATGATTTTAAGAATCAGAAGTTTAGTTACAACACTATTTTAGTATCACCCTACATATTATTTATAAAACATTCTGACTGACCAGCCTGGTGTTTGTAATGTTCCTTAATATGAAAAAGTAGTTCTCTCATGACCTGATCTTAGTTCTCCAAATCACAGGTAGTAGTAAAGAGTTTCACCAGATTGGAAATTGTTTTATTTCAAATATGGTCCCTTCGTGCACTTAGTTTCATTGTGCCTCAGTTCTCAATAGTTACTAAATCTAAGTGCAAACAAGTATTCATTTTCATACAGGAATTTTAAAAATATGTTATTTTTTAAAATGTTCATTTCTTCATTTGCCTCTGCTTTTGCCTGATCCAAAGAGACCAGGTCACTGTCCTGGTCCCTTGCAAGTCTTTTAGACAGGTTGTACTGTAGAACTATGTAACTTTCTGTTGAAAGCACTTCCTGTATTCTTGTATTCCAATGTAGGAAGCCAATAGAGCAGGACTTTACTTTAAAATTTCTTTCAGTGATTGACTCCTTAAAGTTGCAGTAATGTGAGAGTACATTTTTTACAAACTGAGAATACAATAGAGTAAGCTGTTGAAAATTGAAAACAATTCCAGTTTAAAAAAATTTTAACTGTCTGCTCTGAATATTTAGTAACGAACACTGCATCAAGCAAATAGCATTCAGAAACAGAAGCTGTTCTCTCTCTAAATCTTCACTCTTCCTTCAGTTTATATTTGTGATATAAAGACTATCCAGTGCTCAGTTTGAATCAGAGCATCATGTTAAAACCAGTTCTGAGACTCCTTATGACGTTTCTAGTGACTTGTGATTAGATTTTATGAAATTTACAAATAACGTTCTTCAACGTGATGTCATCTTGTGCCTTTCATGTAAGTTAAATTTGCTCATACAGCTTAAAAGTTGTATTTGCAAAATTAGGCCTTCGATTTTTATAAATGTAAAGATTCCTCAGAACAGTGTCACAAGATCTTTATTTCCTCTGAAGTATGTAAAAGTTGTATAACGTACTAATTTTTTAAAATGGCAAGGCACTTTCATTTCTTGTTTTTATATTTAGGAACTCTAATCAGGAATATTATAAGCTGTTTTCTTTATAGTTTTGCTTCTTACCTAATATATAATTTTATGCACAATACTTTATTAAATAGAGTATGTTTTGTATATAGGAAAAATATTTTTTTTCTTTCTATAAAACATAACTATTTACCAGTTACCAAAATGCAGTATATCATTGTTCCTAGTCCCAACTAAGTACTATATATTATTGTAAGCTAGAGTTTGTTATTACCATAATAACAAAACCACATAGATACTCTTACTTCAGCTTGGCTGTAGTGACAGGCCTTAAAAGAAATCCAAAAAGACAGTGGACTTCTATATTTTTTAGTTTAAAAGATGGCAGCTCTATGCATTCATATACACGAATTATAAGAAAAAATACAAATGCCATGTTGGGTGACTGAAGTTTGAGGATGTACGTTGAGAGTTGCATTAAAGGAAAAATCCATCTTTTTATTGTTACATCAATAAGCTTATTCTAGGTTTTCTTTTAAATAAATGATTAGATTATAGAGTTAGAACATGAATGGAGTGGCAAAATATTTCATTTAAGTGTTTTCAACAACAGTATCAAAAAAGATTGGAAGGAAGAATGTAGTTTTTCTGAGAAATTGGACTTAGGTTATTTGACACTATGATTTATCTTTTTTTAGCTTTGAAACAACTGACTACATTGCTAACAACCAGTATCTTCTTAATAAAAAGAGTTATCAGTCTTATTTGTAGCTGTAACAGAGCATAATCACATTAATAAGACCAGCTTGGTGCTTTCACCTTTAGTAAGAAAAAGACCTAACTAACTGTTATTTGTTAAACCTACCTTTTTTCGGACTATGCCCAGAGTTGTACATGTGACTTGATATATCCTTACAGGTTTATTGGTGTAAGTAGCAGATTCTTCATGTCCTAAAAATGAATTGGTTTCTAAAAATTTCAGGAAAGACCCTACCTCCACCCTAGCTGCCAAGTCCTCAAAGATGATATCATCCATCTGTATGGGTGTGTATGTCTGTATAAACACACACACAGCATATACATGTATATGTTTATGTGTATATTTATTTGTAAAGGTGAAGATGTCCTGGCGTTTTCAGATAACTGAATAGAAAAATATTTCTCAAGTTGATGCATTATTTTTCTCCTTTATATATTTACTAGATATTCTGTTTGGGTTTGGGTGCTATCTGCTGCCATTCTCCACACATAGCCGAATATTCATCTTTTTTCCAGCAGATTGACACAGCTTACAGTAATTACTCCCCCCAAATTATCCATTACTTTAGAAAAGGATTAAATAGGGCTCAAGAGACCCACTTCACTCTGTAGAATCTAGTGTACAAGAAGACAATACTACTGTTTTCTTGGTGTGCTTGAATTTGCATGAAAGCTTAAAGGCAAAATCCTTACATCTCAGTAATTAAAGCAAATAGGGGCCCACTGGTGGGCAGCAGGTGTTGGCTCAGAAACTTGGGAAAGACAGCCCACATTCTTAGTATTGTTCTGTTAAAATTCCCTACATTTTATAATAAAATGAGATAGTCCAAATGTGACAATTAACTGGCTTTTATGGGAGCCTATGAGTCTAGAATTACAGGATTTTTATTTATCTCCCAAACGAGCTGTAGGGTATACTTATTACTGCCCAGGAAACAAAACGTATATCATGTAAGTAAAGAATTCACTTAGTATAATATCATCTTATCCTTCAGGAGCTTTCTTCTAATCTTGTGTCTTTAGTACTAACCATATTTTGTTTGAAATATATTTGTATTTCATCTTACTAAGCATTGAATGAATCCTCAATAATATTGTATTTGATGACAAAAATAATAAATTGGACCATAATTAAAGAAAAGAAAAGCTAATGAAAAAATACCCAAATTATTATGATTAATATACACACACTTAAACGTAGGGCCAGGGCAGTTTCATCCAGCCTAGTGCAGGTGCCTAGGGCTGTATGTTAAATCATTTGCTTGATATTGTCATCATTTTCATTTCACTGATCAGGTGAACCAGAAGCATAATCAATGACTACAAAGTAAGGTGGTACCAATAGGGGAAAGAAGTAAGAGAATTGAGGATATTCTTCAAGGCGAAGTTAACATGAGGAGATCAAATGATATCATGGTCTTTCTAGTAAACAAAAAAATCGGCTATTTGGAGGAATAAATTTTAGATGGAGTAAGAACAGCAGTCACTAACAAATATTTTTCAAGGTCCCTATCCAGATTTGAATAGAAAGGATACAAATTGATTTGCATAAAATTGCCATATGCCTACGTGAACTAGACAGTTTGCAGAGATTTTTCACATTGATTTATTATAGCTATTATATTACTTCACACTGATGGTTATTCAAACATTTTCGTTTTATTTCTTTTCTATCCACTGTCCCCAATTCTTCAGTGGCCACATTGAAGGTAGCCATCAGTGTATCTTTATTACCAACCAAAGTTAATATTGAGCATAAGGTTAAGCGTGCTTCAAAGCATTTTCTAAGTTAATTTTAAACATCACCTTTGCCCTACAAAGTATAGAATAATGATGGTGTTAACAGCTACAGTTTACTAAAAGCTAGTACACTAATTTATAATTTTGTTTCATTTTCACAGCAATCCTATGAGGTAAGTATTATAATAGTATCACCAGCTTAATAATGAAGAGATTGCAGCATAGAGAGGTTAAACAGACTTTTCCAAAGTCGACCAATAAGTGAGCAGTAGAACTGGAATTGAAACCAGGCGTGAACTACTCTAAAACCCACACCAAGCGTATTGCAGTTGCATCCCCCCTTTACTAGATGCCAAAAAAGTTATGACATTTTTTTCATTAATAATCCACCTACCTTGATTGGATAGCAAAAGTAAAGGGGAAAAAACCGCTGGGGAAAGAGAAAAGGTAAGGAAGAAAAGAGGAACAGAGATTTTCTTTTTTTTTCTTTTTTGGATACTAATGTTACTTTTGTGTCATACTTTGTAGGTAACTTTGATTTTAAAAAGACTTGAGATTAATTTTGTCTTCCAGTTTAGCTAATACTTATTTAATGAAAGTATATTAATCAATTTGTCGTGCTCCTTGACCACTTTTGGGAATCCAAGGTACTTTAATTGCATATGACTCCCTTTCTACCCTGTGAAGGACATAGCCTATGTCTATTAGTCCGTATCTCACTTAGGAGGAGAAGGAAATCTTGTCTTCCACTGGACTGTACTCTCATTGCAATTTACTTATGTTTCTTCTGTACTCTTTATTAAGATTTGACAAAAATTATAGTTAGTTTTATTACTTCTCTCTTTCCCCCTAGGAAGTAGTAAATATCTTGTCATTGTGGCAGGCAATAAATATTGAATTGAATATTAAATTCCCTATGGACAAAATTGATCATACTGTTACATGATTCTCAGTTTTTTTGTGAATCTTGCGTTATATGTGGATTTATTTATTCCTTCATTGAATGTATATAAGAGTACCAACTAGGTGACATGTGTTGTTCTAAGTGCTACAGGTGCAGAGATTAAAATTAAAGTCTTTAGCCCCATGGGGCTTCCCTTCTAAGGCAGGAAGATAGCCACAGGATGATGTGATTGTGGCCTAACATAAAGAAGCATTAAGATAGAGGCATGTCCAGAGTACTGTAAGATTGAGTGAAGGAATACAGCGTGGAGTTCGTAAAAAGCTTCCTGGAGAAGATAGCCCCCAAGCTGGCTCTTAAAGAACTAATCCAGGTTAGATTCCCACCAAACTCTGGGGCACCTGTTCTTTCCAAGGGCAAAATATGAAATAGTGGTTTCCAAACTAAAGTGTACATAAGAGTTATTTTGGGAGGTTAACTTTTATTCCAGAACTCCACCTCCAGAAATTCTATTCATTTGTTCTGGAGAGGAGCCCAAGAATCCACATTTTATTAGCTCACTGAGAAATTCTGTCTGAGATACATTGGTATAGAATATAGAGCTCATTACATGGAATTATTGATAGCAATGTTTGAGTGCTCATAGATTAGACCTTTAAGTGTGATAAAGACAAGGATGAGTGTTACTGATCTTTCTGTGTGTGTGCGTCCTTAAAAAGAAAGGTATTTAATGAAAAAAAGTAATAATCCATTTCTGTACGTTCATATTCAACATAACTTTTTCAAAGTATTCCTTGGTACAATGAATAAATATGTTGGTTTTTGATATCTGAAAATTCTTTCTGATTATTGTTCAAATATTTCTTTCTACTCTGTTTTAATAATGACAGGTATAAGGCAAAGAGAGAGTTTTGGGGAGACACTCACCTAATAATTTCTCTGTGTTCTAAATGAAGTAAGACTGACCTTTAAGCTAATGTGTAAGCAGCAGTAGGTGGTGGCATTTTTAAATTGCTGTGTGTAGTAAGCTTTCCGGGTTCTCCTTATCATCATGCTAAATGGCTTCGTTGTCATCACATTCATCAGATGAACTTCAGTCCTGGATTCTTCACTAGGAGCAAGCAGTGTTTCTCTCTTCTCTCTAATCTCTAGCTCCTTGAATGTATTTTTTTTCTTTTCTTAAGGTCCTTTATTTCAAATAGCAAGTTAATACTGAAGCCTCAGGACATTCTCTTTCTCTCAAAATAAATGCTATGGATAAGGTATATCTGAGTATCTGTTTCCCCATCGTTTCATGGACAGCCATACTTCCTTCTCTGACGTAATATTTTACATGAATACATTCTATATTTTGAAAATTTTTTCTCCCCACAAAGATCTGTGATGAACCTACTGAAAAATTAAGGTTTTATTTGAATATTTGAAATAATGTTGTTATGGATTTAGGCTGTTTGCAACTGGTGGTGTCTCACTGTGTTTGATCTGGTCATACTGTTTGAAATCTGGTTAATAGACTTAAGATGACAGTGTTTGATGGACTGGAATTATTCGCCCAGTATTGAAAATGACTGTTAAAAATTGTGGTTTTCTCTCCCTGTTTAGACTAGTATGAGTCTTTTAAAAAATAGCTCTTCTTCCTTTCTCCCTGCCTTTTATCCATGCTTTCACTCATACACATTCACACTGGATGCTGTAGTCAGTTCATCACAGCCGAGCCATTCCTATCAGAAAGTGCTATGCTGACGTTTTTTCTCTTAATTGCATAGACTGGAAGTAGGACCAAAGGGGCTTTCTTGGAGACTACAGGAAGAGCAAAACATAATGCACTTCAATCATAAGAGGTTTGTTGTTGCTCTTGTGATAGTTGTTATATACTTGTCAATAGTGTGACGTCCTCCAAAAATCTTGGGGAATGGGCTGGATGCAGAGAAGGAAATCGACTATTAATCTAATAAAAGTTTGGCATGATTTTATTATAGAATTTCAACCTCTTAGGATATAAAAATGTCTAACTAGGTAATTCTGAGAACAAAGTCACTACTGTGGCAATAGTTGGTGCAAGATATTTGACGTTACTTCAGTGCCAGTTTGACAGGCTGAATCACAAATGGTTTTATTATCTGAGGATACTTCTTCACCCTTGTCTTTGTTAGTCTGATTATCAGTAAACTCAGTTCAGACTATTTGATATTTGATCTTCTCTTTTAAATACTTAAGATTATTTTAAAAAGGAAAACCTTAGTACCTTTCTGCTTATTCCTTTTATGTGTGGTCTTTTGCCTGACAATGTGTTTAAAATAAATATCGAACAGACTAAATATAATACTCCATTATATACTGAAAATATAATTTTCCAAAATTTGTTCATATATTCCAGTACTGCTAGAGTACATATTTTCACAAATCTAAGCAATTGCTGTTAAATGTGGCTATTTTACTTATTAAGAAAACAGGACTTTTTCCCTACCTCTGAGATGCATTGTTTCTCTTCATCATTTTCTTCTGGTTGAAGATGAGTGGCTGTGAACCTATGACCCGCACTTCATTTTTCATTTTCTGGGTGTGCTAACCTCCTCCTGATGGTATAATTTTCAGTGAGGACCAAACCATTTATACCCTCAGGGGTAGATCCGCTAGTGATTCCTGCTCACAACCCCCATTAATGTGATGTGAGTAATGCCTAAGCACCAACAGGAGGAGAGACCCCTAAACTGTAAAGGCTCAATATCTCAGCACCCTGACATCGGGTAGCACTTCAGATACCTACATGGAATGGCACTCCTAATGGTGTAGAAGCCGACTTGTGGGAAGTAAGGAATTTTAGGTCACTATTTATATGAAAATTTTTTTATATTTCACATGTGGCTTTAACCAAGCAATTTAAAAAACATAGAAATGGAAGTAAATACTGTGGAGTCATAGGAAGGATTTTTGGTGACGTAGAGGGAGGAGGAAGAGTGCTTGTTTTTGTTTGGGGCAATCTTTTTAGATAAAGATTGAGAAGATTCACAATATTCTGTAATTATGTCACACTTATGTGAGGGGAGACCAGGGTAGATTTTTTAGCCACTAATTGGCTCTTTTAGTATTTAAGTATATTTGAGTAACTCTTTGAAGCACAGTTAGAAACTAATGGTGATACTTCCAAACATCATTTTGAGTTATAAATATTACTTAAAGTTTAGCAAGAGAAAAGTTCCAGTGGTAGCTTGCATTAGAAAATAAATTGATTATGTTTCTACAGAATTGCGTTGAAATGACTTTTGGTTTTTGTGCTGAACAAAATATAGTGGTGACAATTTTGAGGAATCTTTAAAGCAGTTTAGAAGAGACAGCCAAACTTTGGCTAGATTTTTACTTGAATTTTGAAATAATAAAGAACATGTATAAATACTGCTTTTCAGTTACGTTAGTCTGGAGGAAAGGTAGTTTTAAGGATCTTGATAAACGTTGAGATTTATTCTAAAACTCATGAGCTTCAGCATCGCTC